GGAGAAGGGGGAGAGTGAAGAACTGCAGGAGGGTGAAGGACGCGGATAGAGAACTCTACAGCAAAGCACTTGAAAAAGTTCCAGCTTCCCAGTTGCAGCTCTCCAGGTCCACCTCCGTCTTCCATCATCAGGGCGCCACAGGTGGGGGAGGGCAGCGCACGGATGCCCAGATACAAAAATACAAAGATACAAGTGTGTATGCGAATACTTGTACATACATATATAAAATATAAAAAAGTGCACTGCATAGAGCTGGCTGTCTGCTGTGCGCAGTTTGCTGAACTCAACTTGCAACTTTTTTGCCCTAGAATTTCGTACTTTCTCTATTCCATACCAGTTACTGGGACATCAGGGGTATATTGTATGCATCCTCAGAATATATATATGTATGTGTCTAGTGTAAATATGAAATATGTTACTTATATTCAGATTAAGTCATGCCTGTCTGTTCATATTTAACCAGCATGACTCACAGGATTTCAACAAAAAACGATGTTTAAAGATTATTGATTTGAATTGAATTTAAATGACCTTTCCACAGACTATAGGTTATAGGAAAATTTAAAAGATATAATCAGTGATTAGCAGATATCCTCTAGTCTGGAGGATCAAGCATCATTTTCCCTTCTATTTTATTGTTTTATTTCCCCCGTTGCGTCGTTTTTCGCGCACTTGGCTGTCGAATTTGCTGCTGTTGGTGTTGCCTCTGCCTGGTTTTAGCCTTACTGCAATCCGTTTCAGTTGAATTTTTCTCCATTTTGTCGTAGTTGCTTCATGCCCCGATGCATTTGAACACTTGCAGTGTCGCCCTGGCTTGCATCTGCATCGAAAAATAAGGAAAAAAGAAGCAACTGACAGTATCCAGTATTTCAAAGGACCTACGAGGGCACAAACTGCATCTACTTAATTTCTAGGAAACCTTGCAGGGGGATTCCAACCTCAAACACTATTTACCTTGTAACATTTTGTTGAATATTTCTGTTCACAAACCAAAATATTGAATAGATTTTTGTCCTTGGGATGAATTTCCACAAAAAAAGTATTGCTTTTTTATCGAGCCATAATACAAAAATGTTGCATTTATTAATGTTAATATATGAACACTTTTTGAATTCATAAACATAAAAAATAATGAAGAAAAGAGCCACAGAATCATTTAATGGAGCGCACAAATTGCAACATGCATTGCCCAGAAACACTTAAAAAAGAGACACAGTATCCCTTTCCACACTGAGAAAGATTGTGACTAAGACAAAGGAGACACACATGTGGCTGGCTGGCTGCAAGAAATCCTGACAATAATGTCGACGAAATTTTCTGCTGTTGCACACAACAATGGCGGAGCTGCAGGAAGAACAGAAGCAGCCAGAAAACTGGAACGACAATCGCCGGCGGGTACACACATGGCAGCCGCCTCGCTTTCCCCGTTTTTCAGTATTTAGTTAGAGGGAGCAACACCTACAACAAAAAGACGCTGGCCACGAAAATGTAAGGAAAATGATGGGAAAAGCAAGGCAAAAACAAAAACAGGACGTGCCACGGTCACCATTTGTTGCGGCATTTTGACAATTTTGCCATTTAATGTGGCGCAAAGTGTGGGTCCTGAGGAAAGGGTGTTGCAGAATAATGACTCGTGCATCTGGTGTCTTGTATGTAGCCAGGCAGACTCTTCATATACACAACCCACACATGACAAAACGAGAAATAATTGCTTTTGAAGAACAACAAAGAGTAGATTTGGTTTATTCAAGGACAAAAACACAATTTTGTATTAATTTTTTTTGTATACTATGGAAGGGTATTATAGTTCTGATTACTGCTGGTAAATGTCCTTTTGGCAAGAGTGTTAGCCACAAAAACGAGGTTAATGGACTCACAGAAAATCTGGTTATCCTTCGAAACAGTTCGAAATATTCCGGTATGCAATCTGCCTCTTGTTGTACTTAAGTGCATTCTGTGTTTCACTTTACACTAAATCCCTGGCAACAAAGTAAATTATGGTGCTCCCGCAAGGGCCCACATTGCGTATACGCAGTGTTGAACCTTCCAAAGGGGAGGCTACGGAAACTGATGCCTTTTCTGCCAACAGAATGCTAACAAAATACAACATTTTATTGATTTGTTGCTCAAATTTGATCTTGTTCTCCATTCTTATTCTATTCTTCTCGCTCGCCGCTCCTTCGGATGGGATTTGATTAGATTTTTCAAGTACACACTCGCATCCACACTGGCTCCCTGACACACAAAAGCCACTCGTCTGCTGAAATGTATTTGCGGTTCGGGAGCTGGGGATCGGGGGGAGCACAATTTGGCAGATGTGGCGGAGAGCTTAGCTGTTGTCAGGGAGGGCTCTGTGTGTATTTTGATTTAATTTGCAATGCGCTACTCAAAGTGCATTTTCCTTTTGGCTTGGCATGCAATTTGCCAAATGTCAAATAGGTTAGGGCCAATCTGGGCTGCATGGCTGCCAGGACAATTGTCATGGCTGACAGTTGACAGGCCATTGCAAACATGGTTTCTGCCAGCACCCAAAAACATGAGTTCTCCCTCGCCAGTGTGTGTGAGTTTTGCGTTAATTTAGTGTTGACATTTATGAGAAACGACCCTTTAAATGTTGCCGAGTTCAGCTTAGATTGATGTGTGTGCTCCAACCCGTCTTCTCATCACTCCTCCATCTTTGCTTAGCCATGCAAATGGGGTCAAAAAGTCAAAAGTCAGTACTAGCCCGCAGCTGGATGGTAAGTGGTCAAGACTTCTGATAGGTGGGAGATGAATTGCATTTAATAGGATCGCAGGATCGCAGGATCTCACACGTATGCTATTAATTTTATTTTAAATTGTATCTATATTTTTCCTAATCAATGAAATTTTCAAGTTCACAAAGTATGTTTACCTTTACGGAACTGCATTTATATGCGTATGCGTGCGTATATAACTCTATGAATGGGTAAAGGAAGAACGGCTTGTATTTGTATGCGTTATAGGGACAACAGTGCGTATACGTATTTGTGTTGCGTATGTGAGTGCTCCTACTGCCGGGGGGACCTTGGACCATCGAGGCCTGCCATGTGTGTAATTGGCCGTGTAATTGTGTTTGCCATTTCACATTTAGGCAGCCCCGAAAAGGTCACTTTTGATGTGTGTCCTGTGGCGATGCTGCATTGCATGACTTGCCGGGCCCTGGCACACCCAATTAAAACGTCGTTCAAAAGTTTTTGGCATAATGTCCTCCCTGTACGGAGGGAAAACTGTTAATTGACGCGAAATGAATGATGAAAATCTTATAATGAAGTCGGCTCAGCTGGAGCCTGGCAAGTTTGACAACTCGATAATGTGCAAAAGTCCATAACGAGTGTCGTTCTTGGCGCTTTCAAGGTCGCCGCATAAGGCGGCTATTTAAGTGATTGACTTGTCTCAGTCGACCCTATATGTTTTTGAGTAAGTGCCTCCGTCTGGCCCACTTTCAGATGACGAGACTTGAAGAGCTCAAGCGTGGGCTGTCACACACCTGTCAAGCGGATATATTCAATGCGTGACAGTTCGAGGTGCGGCTGGGGCGATATATTGAGCTCTTTCATCGAATATTCATGACGGGCCTTCCTTTTGATGGACGGAGTTCCGTTTAATTTCCATAAGTGATTTTATTTTCATGCATAAAACGGTCCTCGGAGAGCTCTAACTTATGATTTACTATTAATTTAGACGTGCGTTCGGCAACACCTACAAATTATAAAGGAGTAATGGAAATTATAAAACCCATTAATGATTAAGATAATACAATTATAATGTTGTCAGGGATCCTTAAAATAAATAAACTGGAGGGGTTTCTAGCTTTGTAAATAGTGAAAAAGGTTTATCGTATGATTTTGTTTGAATTAAAATATTCACACTTTTTAATCCACATCCACTTATGAACTTATAATCATGCAGAAAATGTAGGTAAAATGCTAAATTAAAGCTTATCAAACGATTCTAAATAAAAGGGAAACCTACACTAAGGTTTAAATTTATACATTTCGCCTTCACTTTAAAGCGCTTATATATATATTTAACGACACTTTAAGTTTATGATAAGGTTTAGCGCTAAAAAATATTTAAGTTTTTTGATCATATTCTTTTATATGTAGAGTCAGAAAACACACAAATATGTTCATAAAACCTTGAAATTCAAATAAAAAATCGATTGCGACTTAGCCCGTTTTTAAATGTGCATTAGAATTGTGACACTTTCATTGCTTAATTATTAAAGTTTCATCTTTAAACAACTAATGCTAATCAATTAATTAGATAAACTTTAGGCCCTAAAATTATGCTAAATGTTTGCACAAAGCTTGTGTGACTCCCACTTTATTTTTCGTTCATTGACTCATGGCAAACACTTAAAAGTTGCCGCTTTTCTTTGATAAAAATTACTTAGTTGTCAGTGTAGAGCAGAGCCAATATATAAACATTTCTTATCGACAACTACGAATACTGAAACAAGCAACTTGAGCGTCCAATTAACATTATGACATTTGGCCGTAAATAAATTCCGTAAGATAGCAAAATTATAAACAAGTGATGCGTCTTGAGTAGGGTTTGGGTTAATATAGAATTAGTTATGAATAAAAACGGATTTGTGATCGTTCTTAAAAATTCATTTGTATTAAAGTATATTGTTAAATTATAAAAATAGTGATGACACAACAAGATTGAGATGTTAAGAACTATAGATTAAAGGCAAACAAATGTAATAATTCCGAAAGCTTAAGGTGGAAGGAAGATGGTTCGCAGCCCTTCGCTGTTACCATCTCTAATTTGATAATGGCGCCTCACATGGCTGCCATGTCAACGGAGCTATCCGCTCCGATGTGTGGCTATGTGATAAGGAGGAACAAATAAATAAAAAAAGAAAAAGCAACGACGCACCAAGCCAATTGGCTCGTTATCGGAATTGGCCGGTTAGCTGGCTGACTGGCAGGAACCCCACCAGCTGTGATTTAGTCATAGCCGAAACTTTGCCGTGTTCACTTAGCACTCAACGTCGCGTTCCACGGCAGTTGATTTCTTCGGTACCAATCCAGACTCGACTCTCCGCGGTTATAAATAATAAGCCAACAAAACGGCCAAGTGAAGTGACTGAGACATGTTAAGCCTTCTGCCGGTAGTGTGGCTCCTTTGGGCCAGTACGCTGCCAGTGCCGCAGGCCACGGGCCAGATTATTCCACTGGCCACCTTCTGCCAGGGCGCGAGTGAGCCGTGCACCTGTGCCGCCGAGGCAAACGTGGTGCGTTTCCACTGTCCGGATGAGTACGCCATGCTGCTGGAGGTCTCCGAGCCAGGAGCATCGCTGTACCTCAGCTACTACGCCGTAGATGAGGTGCACTGGCTGCCAAGCTTCAACATCAGCCGCCTGGTAAAGATCGAGTTCGATGCCTACTCCTTCTGGCCGGAGACGTTCTTGGAGGAGTTGCTGCACACCATGGGAGTGACGCAGGTGAAGACGGTCCTGTTTCGGGACCGCACAGCAGAGACAGTGGTCACACGGGACGTCCTAAATGTGACCGGCGGATATCAGAACTCGAGTCTGGCCGGGAACATCTCCACCTGGCACTTCGGAGCGCTGCCCGGCCTGAAGAAGTTCAAGTTCTACAGCGACGTACAGGAGTTGCAGGAGTCGATTTTCCACGGATTCGACAGTCTGACCGAGTTGCTGCTCAGAGTGGAGGTATCGATGCTGCCGGGCAACCTGCTCTCCACAGTGACCAACACCCTGGAAACCCTGACCATCGAAAGTCCGGGCATGGTAAAGTTCGGGCATCCATTGCTCACCGAACTCAAGCAGCTGCGGAACCTGAGCCTGCTCCTGACCGATCCGCAGCGCGGCCGGAACGATCAGTTCCAGCCGCACTTGTTTGGGTCCATGAAGCAGCTGATGGAGGTGCGACTGGCTCGGGCCACGGGAAAGGTCAACCGGAAAATGTTCAAGGGCACCGAGAAGCTGCAGCTCATCAAGATAAATGGAAACGATGACCTGATAGAGCTGCCGGGGGAGGTCTTTCGCGACCAGGTCAATCTGAAGACGCTCGACCTGTCGTGCAACGCCCTCAACCACTTGCACGATGACGCCTTCCTGGGTCTGGGCAATCTCACCCTTTTGGATCTGTCCAAAAACAAACTGACTGACTTATCAAGGTGAGTGAGCGGGAGAGCCATTGTTTTCGCCGCCTGCTTTCGCTGATTAAAAGATGGCCCACCTCGCGATAGGGTCCGCGACGCGAGACTCGAGAAGTTGCGGCCAAAGTAATTAATCGATTTCCACCGAGCGGAGTCTTCTCCACCTTATCGCTGTGGTGCGGCTGCTGCTTTCCTTATCAGCTCCTAGCTCCGGCACGGGCGGTAGCTCAACGAGCGTTCGGTGTCTCTAATGACAGCCGAGTGGGGTTATCAGTGCCCCATCACTTGGATACTAATTGCAAAATAATACCTGATTTGTGTTTAGCAACAAAGCAGCCAAACATTTTGTTTGTCGAACAGTAATAGTTAGTTATCACAAGGGGCCTTTAATCTTACAAGTATCTCTAGCACTTTGTCTACAAATGACACATAGATTGTCAAATCTCTAGACTCTGACAATCTCCTTGCTGTAATCGAATTTAAAAACATATATATGTGTCAAAAACCCAAATCAGATGTTATAAATTAGGCTACAATTAGACATTTTAAAAGAGTACAAGAAGTTACACTAGCATTGCGTACTTAAATAACATACTTTTTAATAGATTTTAAAAAATCATAATGATTTTATTAATGAGTATAAACTGGCACAGTAATTTTATTTTTGAGACCGCATTTTGAATAACTTTTCGCTGTAAAAATGTTGAACCATAAATACACCTTTAAGAGTATTCAATTTAAATTGACTCAAAGAAGTTCTCGTTATTTATTTAAACTATTGCTTAAACTTGATTGTACATATGAGAAAGAATTTGTAGCTCATGCAAATTGTTATCTTCAATAAATTGTAGTGGATTTATATATTTCATCAAAATGACAATAATTGTATAAATAGATAATACTTATATTCTTAGACTTTGTGGTAAACTTTTATGTAATTAATATCAAATTGTATAGTTTTTATATATATCAAAGACCATGCTCATTAGTTCCCTCTTGAATTATTCATCTTTCCCTTGAACATATTTAGAACTACTAAAAAAGATTAGGCACAACCATTTCATAAAATAGCTCCAGATATGTAGATATCCTTAAAATGTACAGCAGTATGCAATTAGTCCCATATTGATAGAACTCGATGACCCTACTGACCCCGACTTAAACTGACTTTCTAATCCTTCTGACCTCCAACCCGCAGCACCATTTTTGCAGCACTCGCTTCGCTGAATGTATTGCGGCTCAACAAGAACTCCCTGACGGCGATGTCGCCCAACGTGTTCCGGGACGTGCCCAGTCTGAACTACATCGAGATGGTGAACACTCAGTTCTACGGGGCCACGCTCCTCATGAGCTACGAGGCGGTGGTGTGCACCAACGACGAGACCTGCCAGTACAAGTCGGCGGAGTGGCAGTGCGATCCTCGCTGCATCTGCTGGGTGCAGCGGGACGTAAGCGTCCTGATCGTGGACTGCCGGGGCACCAGCATCGAGCACCTCCCGGTGCTGCCGCGCACCACGTTGGTCAGCACAGTGGTCAAGGTGGGAAACAACAGCCTTAGTCGACTGCCCACCGTCGGAGAGCACAGGGGTTACGCGAATGTGAGTGGACTTTTTCTCGCAGACAACCAGCTGACCAGCCTGGGATCTGGTGACCAGCTTCCCGATAATCTTACCCATTTGGACGTTCGTCGCAATCTAATTGACGAGGTCAGCGAGGAGTTCGTGGAGTTCCTGCAGCAGGCAAACAACACCATGACGGTGTCGCTCTCGGGGAATCCCATCTCTTGTGACTGTGCCGCCCTGCCCCTCCTGTTCTTTGTGCGCACCAATCCGCAACGGGTGGTGGACATCGCGGATGTGATGTGCACGAAGCAGAAGAAGGCTCTCCAGCGGATGGAGGCCTTCGAGCTGTGTCCCTCGTATGTCCTGCTCATCAGCTGCGTGGTCGGGGGCCTGGTGATCGTTGGCTGCCTGCTGACTGTGTTCTACCTGATGTTCCAGCAGGAGCTGAAGATCTGGATGTACAACAACAACCTGTGCCTGTGGTGGGTGTCTGAGGAGGAGCTGGACAAGGACAAGACCTACGACGCCTTCATCTCGTACTCGCACAAGGATGAGGAGCTGATCAGCAAGCTCCTGCCGAAGCTGGAGAGCGGTCCTCACCCATTTAGGATCTGCCTGCACGACCGTGACTGGCTGGTTGGCGACTGCATTCCGGAGCAGATTGTCCGCACCGTTGACGACTCTAAGCGGGTGATCATCATACTGTCGCAGCACTTTATTGATTCGGTGTGGGCCCGCATGGAGTTCCGCATCGCCTACCAGGCCACCTTGCAGGATAAGCGGAAGCGCATCATCATTATCCTTTATAAGGAATTGGAGCACATGAACGGCATCGACAGTGAGCTGCGGGCGTACCTCAAGCTGAACACCTACCTCAAGTGGGGTGATCCGCTCTTCTGGAGCAAGCTGTGCTATGCGATGCCCCACAATCGGAGGGTACTCAAGGGGCAGAAGAAGCACGCAGGTCCCCTCATTTGAGCCACATGCCTTCAACGGTCTTTGGAAATAAAATCGAAACCAGGCCCATTCGATTCTACAGGTGCATTTTCCCCAGGCATCATTAGATCTCAGGATCTTATGAGAAATGTATTACGATTTCGTATTAAATGAGCCGTTGTCCTTGCAGGGTCTGAAATAAAACAGATGTGTCTGACTCTTCAGAGAATATATATTCTTTAGCCTTGAACATGGTTATATAGACATTACCGCATGTTCGTCTGTTTCTAAACGCTTTAATCAGTTTTGAAGCTTTGAAAACTAGCTTAACGAGAATATCATTTTGCTGTAATGGATATTATTGGAACTGTCCAATCAAAAAGGATAAATATGTTTCTGCGGGGTAATAGAACCTTTGGCTTGCGAGTGTTTAGCCCTTACTATATGTGATTTATAATTGCCTATTTATTTAAAAAATAAAGTAAAAACTAACTTAATTTTAAGATTCAACACCAATGATATTTGTATTAATTAAATTATATTTTGCTTTTAATATAGTTAGTTATCTTAGTACTGCAATAAAATAAAACAATATGTATTGAAATGTTTCTGAATTTCCTTGCCCAAAAAAATGTTTTAGTTAATCCAGTTATATTTGACATCCGTTTTCCATTAAATTAAAACCTTAGCCTTAGATACGCGAATAATATTAATAGGCTTAAGGACAGATAGAGGAGGCTTTATCATCAGAACTTGGAGTTGAGTTAAAGCATGGAAGAAACTTCAATTGCCAACTATATTAATTATTTAATTCAAAATTATGTAAATATGAAAAATTTCCCTTTATATGTATATCCCAAAGACCCTTGTCTAATACAATTTGTTTAATAAGATTTAAGAATTTCAAATTCATCATTTTAAAATTGCTTTTCATTCCCTTTGAATTATTAATCTGCGAGGGGACTAACAAAGTGGACAATGCCGTAGGTCTGGACTAAATACCCCAGTGGGCTTATTCCTTGGCTAACTTGGGATAAGGGTGCTGCTCTGCCTTTTGTTTTGCCTCAAAGTTTTATGCCGAAAATGATTCTGTCACTTTGCTTGTGAAATTTTAATTAAATTTTAAATTTCAAGGCTTTCCTCAGACATGAATTGTGCTGCTGTTGGTTGGGGTATGGGACAAATGCTACTATTTAGAGTTTAAGAATTATTAAACTTGGAAGCAAAAGTGAAAATTAATTGCTTCCGGCTCGGTGTGTACATATCATCTTCATGGGCATAAAAAGGCATACATATTTGCAGTCGAAATTAAGTGCTTTAATTGCTTTCTGTTGTATATACTTTTGCCTTAGTATTTATTCAGTCACATGTTTGAGCGAACCCTCATCGCCTCCTTGCAGCGCACGTCAAACTCTAATTATCCACTTCAGTAATTGCGTTGGCCTTCATTGTTCAGTTGTGCCGAGGACTGAAGCCATGGTCCGCTCTGCTGTCTGTCTAAGTTCAAAGTGCCTGGCCAGGCCAATTTTCTGCCAGAAATAAGTGAAAATATATGAAATAATAAGGTGGTAAGGGAAGAGGGGCTCGCTTTATACGCTCTCAGCCCTTTCCCGCTGCACGATTGTCTGTCCTTAACCTCACCACCCACGAAGTGGGTGTCTGTTGCGGGTACCCTCGGCCAGGACCTTCTTGGAAGCGTCTTTGAAGATTCATTGCATGCCCGACGGCTATTGCTTTGTGGGCGAGGCGCCTAAGAATCGAATGTCAAAGGGCCAAAATTGTAAAAAAAAATTGTAAAATTGTGAAAGTGAGACCAGCTTTACCAGGGTTTTAAAAGTTGTGCCTTTCAAATTGTGTAATTTCAGTTCCCAAATGAGTTTTCAGCGAGGACCGCAAATAAATAGAGAAAATACACTTACGCTAAAGTCACAACCTTATGTGTTTCTTGACATTATAGTTTTTTTACAATTTATTCATTTTAATCAAGTTGGATTTCAGTTACTGTTTTCATACGCTTTTGTAAGAGTATAAGTAATGGCTTTTGATAGCTGCTCTAACGCGGTGAAGCTTCCATCAAATAATCATCTGAACTCATTTTTCACAAACTTATAGTCCGAGCTGGAGTCCGGTATGAATCTTTGCTGGGTGTGAGTAGTTATCACAAACATCTGTTTGCAACTGCTTTTCATTTATCATAACTTTAGCTAAAGCAAAACTATGAAAAATCTTGGGCTTGGGCTGCCGGAAGTTCCTAATACTGCCCCATCCTGAGGCTTTCGGCTACTACGTGACCCTATCCCCACTTCCTTTAGCTGAATTTCAAACAAGGGATTCCCTGGCGTTGAACTACTACTTAGTAGCTATAAAGAAAATGTGTGGTTCTCAGGGGGATTGGATGGACTATGTGAATGGCATCGATTGCTCCTCGATTCTGGCGCCAGCAGCAGCAGCAGTCTCAATCGAAAGCGAATGCAAAAATGCAAAGATTGTTGCTGGCCCTGAGTCAGATTTGGTGGTTCCATTGACGACGTCTCCAGCCATTTGAGCACACAAATCTTGGCAAGTACACATTGCGAATGTATTGCGCACAATGTTTGCTGATACTTACACCCTTTCATACATTTTATGTATGGCTTTTATTACATTGGATTTTATTGCTTTTCCTTACCATCACTTTGCCCCGAATTTTTACTGGAAGTCAACAGCATAATTCTAAAGAAATGTAAATTTAATAAAATATTTACCAAGCACTTGTCTATGTGAACATTTTATAAAATTTGATATTTAATGATAGCCTCGTCTGCCTTCTTGAACCAAAACTTAGAATACCCTAACAATCAAATTTATATTTTTAATACTATATTATGGAATCAATTGGTTGTAATGATATAATATACCAATATCTCTAATAAGATACAACTTTTCACATATATAATTTGAGAAGTTGCTACTTGGGAACCAATTGGTGGTCCTTTTTTCTGAAACTATCTTCTTCCTTCTCTGAGTATAATAAAACCTTCTTTTGGTACTTTTAAGTGTTCTATGTGGCAGTAACACCATTAAAATGCATTGCGGTTGTGTTCAGCAATTAATGAAAGTTTTATTGCATACTTTCTTGCATAAGGCTGGTCTAGAAAATGCAGGGCTGGCCTGTGGTTTGCCTCTTTATGGTTTTCCCTGTTCTAGCGTTTATGGTGAGCACAGATACGTATACTTATATAGAAAGGAAGACATACATACACATAGTAGACTAGTTAGTTAAAAAAAATGATTCCATCCACTCACTTATTTTCTTCAGCAAACTGCCAGAGCTTATCCCTAATTTAATAATTGCCAAAAACCATTTTGTGGGATCTGGTTTTTTTCCCCCTCGCTTATTTTTTATTGCGTGCAATTTACGCTAGGCCAATTGTTCATACTTCTCGGCTCGGGCGCATGGCATAGTTTTTGACCTTCCCTGGTGGGCAGTGTTGCCAGAGGCGCGGTTGATAAATGACCGCCGGGAAAGGGACGGGGCTCGGGATGACGGAGAGCTGCAGCCACCGGGAAGCTACACCAGGCGGTAAATCATGAATGCAGGCCACTGCTGATGCCTGCACTTCCTCATCCTAGTCCTCGTCCTCGTCCTCGTCTCCACATACACCCACTCTCCCAAAAGACGGCTGTCAGATGGCATACTTCCGTACATTTTTCCGCCTCCGAAAACGGGCTAAACCGCTGGCTCAGCTGCTCCGTGGCCGAAAATCAATCGCGCTCGGCATTAATCAAAATCCCATTTATCAGCAAGTGGGCAGGCCTCTCTCCCGGAGGTTTATTAGCTGCCGGCTGGCCGCGGCTGGTGATTAGTTGAGCGTTAACCCCGGGTCCGTTCAGTTTCGGGCGCCAGTCCAAAAAAGGACGCGGAAAAGCCGAGACGGAGTGCAAATTGCAATGAATATTTCACGCGAAACGGAACTTGATGGGGAGAAATTTCGCAGGCTTGTTGGATGAATTGGCGGCCCGTGCCAGGGCCATTAATCTCGCCCAGCAGGTGACAATTGCCGGCTGCACTATCCTCAAATCCATTAGTGCTCCACTTTGTCCAAGCTAAGTGAAGTGAAGGTTATAGCACACCTATTCCACCAAAGAGATCCGATTGATGTGTTGAACACGAAAGGAATCCGAACGCAATTAAGTTCCTAGCCACATATACTACGTTTCATAAATAATAACTGCCCTACATGTGTGAGCTCCTCACGCAAAAAATAGAAATAATTGGGGCCGGGAGTGAGCTCCTGACAGGATTCCAAGCCAGTTCCGGGTCGAGTGGATCAGCAGCAAGTCGTGCATCGTCCTTGCCTACAAACAGGATTAATACCTCACAAACGGCAAGGCAAATAAAAGAGCCAATATTAAGCAGGATGTTAACACTCAGTGCACGAGGTCTTTTGGTATGTCGGCTTATATTTATATTGCACTCGGTAACACAATCGCACTTGATGTGATGTAACGTTGCCAAAAACTAGCAAGGAAACTAACTTCGTTATTCCGAAGGGCTATTCTGGCTTTAACAAACTATGTCTTAAATAAAAAGAAAAGAACACCTGGGCTGACCTGACTTTGTCATTCTTAAATTTAAATCCAGACTTTCTGCACTCATATCTGTAAGCAACTGACACAGCTAAGGACGAGTGCATATTTAAACCTATTCGAAATTTAATATCAATTAAAAAAGAAACAATTAAACTTAAAACAATTTTTTATGTATTTTTTTTCCCTTTATCTAATATATTAAATAAATCTAAATTTGAAATACACCCACTTGATGGTAATCCAAAAATGAAAAGTTTAATTTTATGTATTTCATTTTGAATCAATCGTCTTGAAATTTGTAATTTCTCTAAAAAGTTTCCCAAATACCATTTGCCCTTCTACAATGATTTGGACAGTCAAATTTTCCCCTTTTTTCGAAAATCTGTTTTAAGTTTGCCAATGAAACTACAATTAAAGAAAACGACTACGCTACTTCGATAAACTTGTCCATTAACTAATGCAATTGAAATTTTTGTTCTGAAGAGTTTTATGGACACTAAAAATTATTATTTTGTGGAGTGGACGCCGAACTTGCTCAATTTTACATATTTTTCATTTAAAATTGTCAATGAAATCGGAATTTGCTTTTACAAATTTTAGCACTAGCACCAACAAAAAAATAGTATCTTAACCCTAAACGATTGAATGATTGGTCTTTGGGCTTTGCCTTAAAATCCTGTACTCTTGTTTAAAGTTTTTTCGAAGCCAAAACTTAATAATTAATCCCAAAACTTTATAAAAGAGTATTACGGGTATCAGTGTGAATGTTTTATGAATTTAAAACGAATTATTATATCTTTGGCCAGATAATTTTTAAACATAAGGGATAAATACTATATATATCGCACTGGTTTGTTCACTTAACGCTCTTTTTTGAGTTTGTTTTAGAACATGTAGCTTTTAATTGTTCCGAGGTGTTACTAAAAACATTTTACAATAGTTTTCATCCACTGGGACGTTCTTCAACTTAAAACTCAATATCAAAATAAGAAAATTGAAACTAGTATTTTCGTAGTTTAATATCCACGCATATAAGATTGGTTTATCTTCACATTTCAGTTTAATTTATCAAATCTTAAATAGATTACAGAGAAGCAATCGCTATATTGCTGGCTAAAATAACAATATCCGTCTCACAATTTTTTTTATCTGTTACCTTGCCTTTGGTGGTATAAATGCTGACGAACACAAGCCCATTTGACGAAATAAAGTCGGTATACATATTTGCAATATTAAGAAAAAGTTTAATGAAAGTCAGAGTTCTGAATAGTATGTTGGATAATCTTTGGACTTTTTGCTTAAGTTTGAATGAAAATAGGAAAACAAAAGAACCTCGTTGCTGTCGTACGGCAGTGAGTCGACTAGTCCGCATGCAGGTGCTGCTGCCGACGCTTGGCGCGGCCCCGTCCAAGCTTTTTGGCCCGCAACTTGGCCATGTGGGACATAACCATGTAGCTACCAGGCAGGATTAGCAGCAGAAGGTATATTTTCAGGAAGAGCACCATGTCAAAGGTGATGTTCCAAGTGTTAGGCATTTCCACGGTGAAGCGCTTAGTCTCATCGATGTATGGAATATTCCGTAGTATAATGATGCCTTCGCATAGGATACCCATGGGATACAGCGGGATCCATATCGTGTAGCGCAGCCAGGTCAGCAGACCCACCTCCCGGCCCAGCAGCTGAGCCAAATAGAAAGGGTAGCTGGCGGGAAAACATGAATCTGTCATAATTGGGCAAAGTCTTAGAGGCACAACTGACTCACCGCACCAGCTCCACTAGCGACCAGATGACGAAAACATAGAAAACCACCGGTTTGGCGTGCATGCGTGGCTCCATGTCGATCATCAGAAAGAGGATAAAGTTGCGCCCGGACACCTGGAAGAATGGCACTACTGGACTACCTTTGGTGTAGCCGAAGAGCGGGTGCATCACCTCCAGATACTGTAGCAACTGGACGAACTTAAATGCATTCCCAACATTGGCGTACATTTTGCCGATACTCTCGGTGCCATCGCGATAGTAGAGTACTCCCATGACAGCCACCATGTATAGGTAGCCCACGAACATAGCCAGGTTGTAGAAAATCATGTAGACCTTCTTCGTTTTCTCTGCAACGGAATACAATCCTTCATTAGACCTCACTTCTTTGAATTGGAATCAATGCCCCGGCTAACCCTTGATGTAGCCGAGCTCTCGCTTCTGAAGCTCGGCGTATTCCTGCTCGTAGTCCTCACGAACGTCCCGCGGCTTCTCCTCCAGTTCCGCATCGTCCTCCGTCCGCCAGCGGTCAAAGTCTATCTTCAGCCAGTGCGGCTTCTGGGGAGTGGCCACTAGGCGGGGCCACCAAGCAGGCTCAAGTTTCCGGATTTGCAGCTCGATCTTGTTGTCGCTGACCACGAAGCTCGCAGTCTCATCGTCTATCAGGGAGTAGAAGTGCAGTTGAAACTTGTACGCATTCACCCCGCGGGCTCCATAGCCGTTGGCACTAAAGTTCACTGACACCGGCGAAAAATCCGCGATGGCACCCTGCATAACGCTCGGTACATTAGTATTGATTTTTCGCAGGCAACCCCAGTGAGGCGCGGAGCGGCAAACACACTTACCTTGGCATCCTTGAGGTCGACTTTGAGCAGCAGGGTATTTTTGGTCTGTGACCAGTACACAAATGGGCTGAGGTTTGTCATCCTAACCGCAGAAAGTCAAAACATCTGATTACTGTTGCCCGTTTAGCTTACTTCAGGCTATATTTGGTTATCTCTTTATCAGTGAACCGATTGACAAGCGCGGCGGTTTGACGGATACCGACACAGGTATCAGGATACACCAAATGCAATGCAATCCTCGAGAACTCACAGTTACCGGGCTCAAGCGGTTCAACTCCGCAAAAGAGATGCGGGGGCAACAAATCAACTTTATTTGTATCCCAAAGACTCAGAAGCCAGCTTCGAAACGGCGCGCCGTATCCTAGCTGTAACCGGCTTTGGTGGGTGAATCTTTCGGATAGTAGTACCTGGTCGGAGTCACTTCAGGCTGCAAAACAAATTCGGGCTTGAGCGGAGTATCTGCGGGATCGAATTTACGTTTTGAAGTCTGTTCTATCTGTATATTAGGGATGTTGAAAATATAACAAAATATTAATGTATCGATATATTTTCTCTAAATGATATATTTATATCGTGATATTTTGTTTGCTAAAATATCGATGTTGCAATTTTTTTTTTTTTATACTTTTGGATATTAACAATGATGGATGAAACTTGCTTTTTTTAACATTTCACATCTTACACGGCTATAAAACAATTTTACACGTTTATAGATAGATGGGTTAGAATTCTCTTCCTTGGAGTAGAATGTTCATGTAGAAATAGGAATCTCATGTAGAACGTAAAAATAAAGAGCGTAAATTGATAGAATTCTTTCTCGTTAACTGTCGGCTGTAGGTTGTCAATACATCGATATTTAGTTTTAGTTTGCGACACCTATCGATTACCCTTTAACTGCGATAGACATTTTGTTCACTGTTTTATGCTGACTGATGTGTCACTTCGTTTCATAGGAATAGGCTCTGCTGGGCGCGAATTTCAAAGACTTGAAACGGCGTTCAAGCATTTGCTGTGCGAAATTTTTTGGGAAAATTGTTATAAGACAACATAAAAAGAAAAAATAAGTTGTTTTATTAATGTATTGCTTTAATTACTTAAGCTCCAGGGGATATTAACTAGATCTAAGCGTATTGTTTAAAAATGCTTTTTATATGTAATATATAACATTTAAAAAGAAGTAATTCATTTATTTAAAAATATAAATGATTAGGCTTAAATTTAAATTTTTGGATCTTATGATACATTTAAGGAAATTTTCTTTGTCGGTTCTTGCTTGCTTCGGTTTACAATTTGTCGCACGTTTCGGTCATTTTGATTTATGAGTCGCCACCGCAAAAGTCGGAAGTTGTCCGACAACGAGGCAAAAACCAAACAAAAACCGAATAAAACCCCTCGGCCCAAGCATGGGTCTCGACGTTGTGTGTCCTTTTGTATTTGCGCCGCGACGAGGGTGTTGTAGGACCCGCCAGACATGGCAGGCCTGCCGTTGTCCTATCGGCTTGCTTCCCTTCCGGGGGTGTTGCTAAAACAAGAGGCGACAAGTTGTCAGGTTGGTTTTGTGCCATTGGATTTTTGTATTTACGAACTGGAGCAGCGACAGTGGAGCATACGTGTGTCGGCAGGATGAGATATAGACTAGAGAAATTCCATACGCTAATCCAAATGAGTATTTTCTGTATTATCTCTTTCGCAGCCATCACCACAGCACAATTCCATATCACTTTGCACTCAGACATCGGCACAGAATCGGCGGGAAGCGGTGGAAAATGTTGCGCTTCCTCAAGAATCGTTAGCCCCGGCGTCTGTCCAGGCTCCGACATCAAACCGCCCATCTATCTATATGTGTATATGCTTAGCTATATCCGTATGCGTATCCGTATCTGTATCTGTATCTGTATCTTCGTGTCAAGGTAAGTCCACTTATGCTCCGATATCTCCCGTACTCCGTAAACACCATTGGAGTTGCAAAGTTCTCAGGCGCCCCAATCAGATTGGACTTTCCTGTCTCGACCATAATCTCGATTCACTGCCAGGAGTCACTGTTGCATTATTCAAACTGCAATTTTGTAGCCGGCGAATACGAACAACGACCCTCCAATGGCAGTGACCCAAAAAATTATCCCAGGCCCCTTAATTATGCATGTCCTGCCTGTGCCCTTTGGCTGCGCCGCCAGTGTGGGTGCATGTGTTTGTGAAGGTCAACCTCCTTAATAAACAGATGTTTCGGCTTGTCAGTCCATTGTAGCGTATACGTGCTCCGTGCTCGGCACTGTAACGCTCCCGCACTTCCTCCGTTTGATTGTCCCTAATCACCGTTAATGACTTTGCTACATTCTTACATAACTGACGTATTCATATGTATGTATGAATATGTGGAGAATATATATCAAGATAAATAAAAGTGCGGCTGCTGACATTTCCCCTCCCCCGCTCCGCTTTGTTTATTGTCCGTTTCCATATGTATTTGCTGCCGGCGCCCAAACAAAACGCAGCAAATGGTTAAGGTCAAGCCAGGCGTGAGTCGAGTGGGTGAGCAGGAGACGAATGACATCGAGTGGTGCGGGTAAGGCCACAGGAGTTCCCTCTGTGTCTATCAAGCGCGGCGGCACGCGTGCTCGTATGAGTTCATGTTATGAATTCGACAAGGAGACAAGACATAAAATAAACCACAAATATGGGTACACTGTTCGTGTTTATTTTCTAACTAAATAGAGCTGTTCTTAAATTAGGCCTAGTCTGGATAATGGTTAAATACAATAAAACATTTTTGTAAATCAATTTATATTGATCATTCTACTGACTACATATTTCATCTTTGTTAATTTACAAATAAACAAGGAAAGAAGAAAATTAATGCAGCCACTTTGTTGAAAATTTTTTAATAGTCCTGAAGAATAATAATTTTTATAAACAATAAAAAAAACCTGCTAAGGAGTTTGTGTATTTCGGTTTCCTTCGAAATAAGACTTACCATAGTGACTTTGAGGCCTTGAAGCAACAACAACAAGGACCAAAGTTATTCAAAGGACAAACAGCTGCAAATAAGACCCAAACTCAAATAGGTCAAGGTACTGAATTGGCCTTGGATAGCTTTGTGGACTGTATGATCAAAAGCCCCAAAATAGAAATATATCAAAATAAGAAAGGGAATGAAAAGAATGTGACTGTATGAAATTTACTTATATAGGTTATTATTTCATTATTTAAACAAATATTTCCTTTGTATTTATTGGCTAAGCGTTGTTCTACGGTTTGATAATAAACTTAAAACTAAAACCCTAGAAAACATAGCGCTAGTATCCTCGTTAAATTTTTTTAAAGTTAAAAGTGCTTTTGAATAAGTGCAATGGGCCTTCAACTTTGTCTGATAAATCCAGGTTGGCAAGAATAAATTATTGAGTTAAAGCAGGCATGGGCGCGAAATATAATGGAAAGAGCCAGGAAAAAAACATGCAACACTGTAGCAGTGCTGTCAGAGATAGTATGCTATATCTTCATATAATTTGTTGTTGGAAATTTGAAATATTTTGAATGCATTTATTTTTAAAAAGTTTCATTGATTGCCCATCGCAAGAGACGATTTGTTGGCGCCTCTCTTGAAACATATTCGATTGAGCCCCAGGAGCTAAAAAATACCACATAGGATCTAAAGGACTAAATTCATTGCATAGTACAACAACTTAGGGTATAGCCAGAAAAACTGATGCTATTATGACCTGAGACAAACCAGAGATCTAGGATGCAATCTAATGGGTTTTAAGAAAGCGAGACACGCCATCAATAAGATCATGTTGTTCTGTAAAGGATACTTGAGACTCATCCAAGCTAATCGGACCCTTTTGGGAGTTATTATGGAAACTAAATTAATATCAATGGGTAAAGGAAGATGTAACATCATTAATTTTGAGTAAGCACCTCATCTAAAAGAAATTCACTGCTTCCAAGGACACAAACTTAATAAAGAACTAAGAATATATTCAAAACTGTTATATATTTTACCACATAATTTAATGATGTTTGGATTTAAGCCTTAGAGCTTGCTGCAATTACTACCAACTATTTACATTCCAATGAGTTTCGCTAGATCTCGCGTTACCTGATTTTTCGGTATTTTCGCCTCGACCGGTTGTTGGGTGATGAGCACCTCGGTGGTGGCCAGGAGAGAGGCTATTCCCGCGGCAACGCTTACGGCCGCTCGCAACACGTTCGTGGGATCTACAATTCCACGTGCAACAAGATCGCAGAATTCTCCGGTGGCCGCGTCGAACCCAAAGTTTCCACTTTCGGCGAGCACTGTCCGGACAACTTCATCGGGATCTGCCCCTGCATTGAGGGCAATCGTGTAGGCTGGCAAGCGCAGTGCATCCCTCACGATCTCCCTGCCCATCTGATGTTCCGGCACTTGCGCCTCCGGCAGGTTTTCGAGGGCGGGAATGCAGCGAAGGTAGGCGCAACCGCCACCAGGAACAACGCCATCACTTATGGCCACTCGAACGGCGCGCAGGGCGTCCTTGAAGCGATCCTTTCGCTCGGTTACTTCCAGCTCAGAGCTGCCGCCTACATAGATGGTGGCCAAGTGGCCTTGCATGCGACCCAAACGCTTTTGTAGCTGATTCACTTCCTGGTCTGTCCTGGCCTCGTCGATTAGCTCGCGGATGTGCCCAATCCGGTTCTCCACCTCTTCCTCGTTTGCATTGATCGGCTTCAAAATGTGTGTGTTCTTCGCATCTACTATCACCGAAACGACCTCACCCAGGTCCTCATCTGTGACCTTCGCTAGCCAGCTGGCGTCCTCCAGCAGACTGGCACCCATCGCCACGGCCAGATCCCGCATCTGGTCGCGCTGCTCGTCCCCGAAACCTGGGGCCTTGACAGCGCACACCTGGACACGACCCTGCAGGAGGTTCAGGACCAGAGCCTTCAGCACATCGCTGGCAAAGTGCGGAGCTATTATCAGTAGAGGCTGCTGCCTGTTCTTGGCCATCTCCAAGGCCGGCAGAATCTGGCTTATCTGATCTACCTTGGCCAACGTGAGCAACAGCAGGCAGTTCCCCAATTCCAGGGTATCGCCATCAGCCGCCATTGCAAAGATGGGCGAACAGTAGCCAGAAGGCAGGGACACGCCCTCTTGGATTTTAACCTCGTCTTTAGTGCTGTGCGACTCCTTCAGCAGGATGGCTCCGCCTTCTCCCAGCTCCAAGAACGTGTCGCCAATCAGCTCGGCCTGGCGCTCGTTCCCGTTCAGGGCCACCTTGGCCACGGCCTCCACCTGACCGATGGTCTCCACCGACTCGGACATCTCACTCAGGGTCTCGCACACCACTTGAGATCCCTCCAGAATGCCCTCCCGCAGCAGCTGGACATTCACTTGACCAGCTCGGGTCGCCTGAATGCCCTGGCAGGCCATGCCGCGGGCCAGGATCGTGGCCGTGGTCGTGCCGTCGCCCACATCATTGTTGGTATTGTTGGTCGCCTGGCGCAGCATTTGGGCGCCCAGGTTCCAGCGTCGGTCCTTCAGCTGCACATTGTTGGCCACCGTGGCGCCGTCCTTGGTGATCCGCGGAGAGATCAGTAGCTGCTCAATGAGCACGTTCCTGCCTCTGGGTCCCAGGGTGGTGGCCACGGCATTGGCCATAATATTCACGCCCCGCAGGAGTAAGCTGCGGGCCTCCATGCCGAACCTAACATCCTTCGCGTAGTGACGCACACTGATCCACCGTGTCGTGGTAATGTTCTTAAGCATCCTTAACGTACTTCTCAATTCCACTAGGGTGCGTCGTCAATTTTGAGTATTTACCAAACAGGCTTATCAAATATTAAAATTAAAGCAAGTATTACAGGAACGGAAAATGTGACTAGCTTATGTTGAAATTGCTACCCACCAAACCGAGTATTTCCTTTTAATTAATTTAATAATAATAAATAGCTGCAAATTGTAGGTCATTATACATTTTTATAAAAAATAACAACCCATCAGTTATAAAAGAAGGGTATTGAAAAGTCGCGCAGGTCTTTATCATGCTTTATTATGTTACAACTTGTTTTCCTTTTCGTCATTTTATTTTAACAACAAATATTACATTTGCGCCATGTTTCCTGCTTGTTTTTCGACTTTCGTTTATTAAATGTGGCGTGCACGTGTTGGTAAACTAACACACACACACACACACACACACGTATCGCACAGACAGGACTCACTCTCGCCAAGGCGCACACCAGACACGACAGTCGCCACTCACACACAGACGCGCTCCAGGCAGACAATGTGATTCCGACATTAATATTAACGTTAAAGGAGCAACAACAAAACGCTCATCAAGCATGCGGCGTTTAGTACGCAAGCACACACACACACACACTGGCCGTGTGTGTGCGAGAGCGAGCGAGAGCGCTGTCAGCCATTTCCTTTCGTCGTTCGCCTCTTTCCGGTGCGTTGAAAGTTTCGCCGCTCGTTTTTCGTTTGCGGCTTGTTTTCCTTTTTTTGGCCCTTCAGTTGGCAGCGAGCATTTCCTTAAGGCAAACGCGGCTCTGATTTGCCCTCCGCGAGTGCTCTGTGTGTGCCAGGACTTCGATTCGATTTAGATCCTTCGAAGGAGAACTCAAAAAATCGCGTAACGCTTCCCAGCGTCGATCATGGCTCTGGTGGCCCACAGGATGATGCTGCCCTCGCGGCACCGTCGCACCACTCAGCAGGTGGCCCGCAACAAGGTGGGCGTCCTGCTGGTGCCCAGCGTGGCGGACTACTACAGCGGCGATGTGGTCCCGCCCGCGGCCACGCCCCTGCCCACGCCAGCGGTCTCGCAGCTGAACCTGCACCCGGATCCGGCTGAAGCAGCCGTGGATGGCAGCGGCAGCGGAAAAGTGAGTGCAACAAGTCGGTGCAACGTCCCAGATTCAGTGTGCAGAAGCGTGGAAAATGGAAAGTGGAAAACGGGAATTCCAATTGGGTGGTAGTCGCGCCCGCCCATTTCCTGGCTGGCTGTCTGACTTTCCTTCGACTGGCGCCAACTTTATGCCGCTAAGTTTTGTTGTTCTTGGTCATGGTTGGGATTAGGAATGTTGACTCTCTATATTATGTATACGACGTGTGTCTGTGGCGAATATATAAGTGTGTGAGTGTCTGTCAAATACAAATTTAAATACACACAGCCGTGGGGTGAATTTGGCTAAGAAGTTTTTGGAACTAATGTAAAGAGAATTTCTGAAATCTTGTTCGTTAATTTTTTTCTATACACTTTGAAACTAAAACATTTTATTTTTGGAGAAAATAACTCTTATTTAAACAGTGCAGTGTTTAGGGTTGTTCCCTTTTCACAATAATAGTTTAGATTACCCTCGTAGAATTCATTTAGTTCATGGATTATTGACTAATGAATCGATAATAAAATATTAAATGAATACACATACAAATATCAAATTAACTTAAACAATCATACTTAAAAACTTCTGTTTTTTAGTCATGACTTTTAATTTAATTTATTTTAATTTATTTTGAAATAATTTTTCTTGTCAAATCATTATAGTTAAAAAATCACAATAATTTGGGGGCACAAACTAACTTCATTCCTGCCGATGGTATGAATACATATTTGTTATAATAAGAATACAATTTGTCTGTCGAATAGCATAAATCTATAGAAAACCCAAATATTTTAAACTCTCTTAAAGAAAAAAATAGTAAATGAGAAATTATATTTCCACCTTTTTCGCCCTTATCTTAATGATAAATCCTTACTAAATTACATGTATTTATAAACTTTCATTACTATGCTTTTGTTTTGGTACCCGCCCATGTAATTCCCGTAAACCAATTAAAGTAAATTGAATCCAATTCGAGGATTTGATTAATAGAAACGAGTGACGAGCTAGGCTAAATATAAGTATGTATGTATGGTTCATCACACCCCCTTTCCCGCTCACAAATGGAATTTTTAATTCCTGTTCGGCATTGGTGTTGGCCATAATTGAAAGGGACTTGTGTTTGGGCTGGCTTTGTTTTCGTTTTCGGACCGAGTGACACCTTTCATTATTCCGCTGTTACGATGCGTGACGAACTGGGCGCTGACCATTGGTGAGCAGGAGCTCATTATTTATTAAATGCATCGGTTGAACGAGGGTGGCGCTCCTGACACCGCTAACACTAATCAATAAGTCCTAATGCATAGCCTTGACATGGTATTAATAGAAGGGACTCAAATTTGCATATTTCGAGTTTGCTTTTTTACATATACTAATATTTTGTACAGATGATAATAATGATAATTTAATTGGACAACAAATTCAAAAATTCAAACAACAAACTAAACAAATAGCCGAGGACTATACTTTTTCCTACAGCGAACATGTCGTATAAGGTATAAATAAATGAATTACACTTTCTGGTGTGGAGGACATAGAATATCAAAACGAAAACTCACCATAATAAAGGCGTGAACCAAGAAAGCTTTTGCCAAAAGCTTTCGCTAGCCGTAAAAGACTTCCTGCCATAAGAGCTTTTGGAAAAGCCCTGCATTTCCGACTAACAGAGAACTTTAAGCTTTGAACACATGTTTCCACGGTTCCGTTTCATTTTTCAAATCTAAACAACGTTTATATCAAAGTTCGACTGGTACTACTGGCCAACTTGTTGACGCATTCTCAGCATGTTTATGTTTATTGCGGTTTTGTTTATATATTTTTTACATTTTCACTGAACTGTTGGACAATCACAAAAAATGAGTGGTTTTAGGGTTATTATACTGTTGATTCGATTCAGTTTCTTGCCGGCAATCAGCCGACTTGCTTAGAGTTCTCTGGGATCTTAGAGGCAGCAATGCAATCGGGAACCGATTTTGTGACTGCTGCCTATGTGGAAATCGGCAACGGTAGTCAAGTTAACCGAATGGCCATGGATCCTGTCCAGGCCAACTCGACTGGAGGGCAGGTGAATGACATAATCATGGAGGCAGCCAAGGAGTACGAGATGGTGAAACTGCAGCAATTTTTGGGAAAAAGAGACCGTAATGAAAGTATTAGAACTGAAACGGTATTAAAAAAAAGTCATGTTAATATACCAAAATTCGAATCAACTAAGTAGACTCTGACAATAGTGTCTTGAGTACATACTTCAAATAAAATAATATATTCCTTGAACTCTCTCGGAAAGCTGTCACATTATTTTTGGTTTCATTGAATTTCCATTAAAAATGTTCGCCGGATATTCGATCAGTTATGTGGCTGCCTACGAGGAAGTAGATGGCCGCCGCAGGGATTCGTTGATCAATCTGACCCCTGAGCAACGCTGTGAGAGGGAGATGAAAAATATTATCCTCACAGCCCAGAAGGAACACGAGGACCGGATTCACCAGCAAGTAATAGCTGCGATGAAGCAGCGCGCGGACCAGGAGTTAGCGAAGCGTCGTGATATGAATCCATTCCCGCAAAGTTTGATCAGGGACCCAATGGTCGACGATGAGGAGGTCCAGGCACTACTTGACTTGGTCGCCTCGATGGAAGATTATGAAACCCATGACTACGACGACATCGAGGAAGACGAAATGCACTAATTATATCAATTGCTGAAGTGGACTGAATTAAGAGAAGCTTATTGATCAAAATATTCTGGAATAAAAAACGGAAAGCCCAAAATGCAATAAAGTTATCCGGTTTAGATGTTTATTCGTTCCGCAAAATTTACTGGTTCGTGACTTATTCATATTTTCGCTTAGTATAATATTCCCGACTGGCGATTTAAGATTTAATTTATCTTACTGATTAATACGTTAGCCCAATTGGCAGATAACTAGGGTATAATATTGTATTGTAGTAGGATCAACAGAAGCTGCAAGTGACACCGCAATCGGACGTCTCAAATTGGATGTCTCAAATTGGCTAATTTTCGTATCCTTCGTAGCCCTCCTCATAAGTATGCTACACTTTTTCTTGGTTTCACGTATGTGTAAAAAAGAAACTTAGACTTAATAAAGTGTGGAAAGAAGTAACATTTGGAACAAAAAAAAAGTTAAAAAATTAATATTACATACTTTCGTAGTTTCTGTAGGGTAACCATTTTCTGCCAGTTTGAGTGTAATATTATTTAATAGTATATAAAAAGTTCGTAGTCAGTCCACTTTTAAAATATTCTAATTAAAACCAGCTTGTAATTAATTTTAAAAGAGGCTCAACTGGACCCTAGTAAGGATAACTAATCAGAGCACTTGAGTCCTTGGTGATTTGACAGCTAATTATGTTTAAACTATTTCTCGGATTACAACACACTTTCTTCCTCTAACCAATTTCTGATTCCATAATCTAAAATTCATAAATACATTGGAGCTTACACAGATTTATTTACAAACGATGTGGGTGGCATAAATAATTAAGTAAGGGCACTGCCTGGCGATTATCCTGATGATGATGATGATGATGATGATGGGGGCAAATGAGCAAGGTCTCGGGTGCATCTTGTAAGTCGCATAGCCAATTGTCATAATTTATGTAACGACAAAGAGCCGAAAAACCAAGCAGCCGACGTTTTGTCCCGCCTGAAACTTTAATTAAGTTGAACTTATCTATGCCTTACACATGAGACTTCGGCGTGTGTGGTCCAGGCCCTCTTGCCTCCTGCCTCCTGTTCCCGGCTCTCGCACACAGCCAAACGCCCGCTTCACGCGTAAGCCAGAAAACGCTCTCAAATATGCAAATGAATGTGGCACTGGCACGTCAAATGTGGCTTCACCCCCGCACATTCGCCCACTCGCCCACTCACATACACACACCCACACACAAATACGCTGGCACCTTGGGGAACATGCATTTTGGTCATGTTTACTATGTCAGCTAGGATAACGACGGAATGCAGTTGAGTGTGTGCGTCCGAGTCAGCGAGCTTTTACACGGAGAGAAATTTTTACTTACTTTACTTTTGTTCTATGTTGAATATAAAGTATATAGTTAGCATAGCAAGGTTTAAATCCTTTACCATGAAAAGTTTTATGAAAGCTGGCTAAAATAAGAGAGACTAGAATATTTTTTATTTTATTTTATGATTTAAATATTTATCCCATTATAATCGTTTCTTCTTTCAATGAAATTAATTTGTTTTTATCAGTGTCTAAGCAATGTCAGCAAATTAGGCCAAAAGAGAGGCGCTCAGAGAGCGACAGCTGCTATCAGCTGTTTGCAACGCCCACGCACAGCTGAGCGGCACCAAGAGAGAGCTTTCGCTCAGCATGAGCTGTCTGTGCACTCGGGATATCTCGGCTCGCTCAGCTCGTATCCCCTCGTATCAGCTCGGCTCCCTACCTGACCGAGCTTCGTGCTGGCTTTGTTTACATGCCTTCAGCTGCGCCTGCTGCTGCTCGCGAGCTCTTGGGCCGCTCCTGCTGCTGCTTCTGCTGCTGCTGTGGAGCAGGACGAGCGAGAGCGAGGACCCACTTCGGCAGAGGCCAGCGCTTTCAATTTCGTTCAACCTGAATCCTGAATGCGGAAAACTGAAACTGAAGCCAGCCGAAAACGAGTCCGATTCGCACTAGCATTCGCCATCGGTGGCGGCGCTCGCTTTCAATTTCGTCCCGTTATTCGTTGGTGGCCGCTGGGCGGCCTCAGTCGTGTTTTTGTTGTGACCGTCAGTGCGCGTCTCCTGCTGGCTCCTGCTGGCCTGGCTCCTGCCTCCGTCGTCCGTCGTCCTCGCCGCTCGACAGCCGACAGCCCAGCACACTACAGCAGAGCTCGGGAGCTGCAGTCCGCGACGCGTCCGCGCCTATAAAATATGAATTTCTACCATTTTTCTACTCGTCCGCAGCAATACCACTAAAGAATAAAATAATAACAGGCGATACGCAAGGCGAAAACTTGAGTTGACCTGACCGCCCACCCAAGATAGTTGTGTGCAGAGGGAATGCGGTTAATAATTGATCCCATTCCCAACTGGCTGGGTGCGGTGGGAGTTTCGTGCAGAATAAATAAGGCTAAAATTACAGTGCGAATGTAATATGGAATTGCAATCACAGCCGTATCAAGGTGACCACAACAATCCGATCCCCACTCCTGCAATTGTCACTCGGACATCGTAGTCCATCGATATCCGTGCCCTGAGGTAGGTAAGGATTCAAGGAGCCAAAAGGAGCAGAAAGCACGGTGGACTCGTCCTGAGTGACAACTGCAAATATGCAAAACTAACGCAAACAGTAACACAATATAAAATGAATCAATAATCAAAAGAAACCCGATTGAAAGCCGAACCTTTTAAATCTTAACGTCAATTACTTTGATTGGCAAGTGTGCATTACTAAGCGAAATTCAAAGGCCGAACAAATTAAATATCAAAAGTAATCCCAAGTCTTTGTTGAAAAATAAATATTAATAATATTTTCAATAATCAGAAAATAACGTAATATATTCCACTCATAATAAAATAATGCAATTAATTAAAAATGTAAATGCAAATAAAACGATGGAAACTCTGGAACTATCACTACTTAATTCCTCCAGAGTAAACCATTTAAATTATCAATTCAGCTGTGAAAGTTTAGGCAACAAAAGCAATCAGGCAATGGCAATCTGAAGAAGCCTTTATATAACCTCAAAGAAATCATAACGAACACATAATGATAAATTGAATTATGGATAATAGCAAATAAGAAAAGGAAACCTGAGACTGCGCCAAGCTGAAGTAAACAAACGAGGCAAAATGGAAGGAAGTTTGTATACACACGTTCGAGAATGTCTGCGATGTATGACAGATGCTAGCAATAAGTGGCCAACAACAATCCGCCCAGACAGCATGAAAAATGATAATGACATCCGCCGCCAAGCATACGTGAAAAGTGATTATACACACGTCTATACTTATGTTGTGTGTGTGTGTGTGTGCATATCCTTAATAAATACAATCGAGCGATTTATTGAGGCTGAAATGTTAATAGATAGTTTTTGTGACGGTTTATTTCAACCACTTATGCACCTGCTGGTGTTGTTTACCTGTAAAGTGCTGCTAATTCGGTGCTGCCACAGGAGTGTTACTCATTTGCAAGCAATTACATCAACACCACAATCGCTTTAATTAGGCCGGCAGGCTGCTGGTTGCTGGATCCTGGCTCCTGGCTCCTGGCTCTTGGCTCTGTAGCGAAAGTATCTCGCCTCGCATCTTGAAAAATATGAAAAAATGCAAATAAAAAGTTTGAGTTTCCCTGCGAAAGTTTTTCCTTTTCGCTTTTTGAATTTCGCTTTTGGCAGTGGCGTCGTCATCGTCGCCGTCGCCGCTGTCTGCCAGTCGAGACAACTTTGTTCAGGTGTTGTTGGTTGTTTGTGGCACACGTTTTTCGTGTTTTCGGTGGAGTGCCGAGGCAGTCCTTCCCACCTTTGACCTTTTGCATTTTGTTTTTGGCAGGCATTCGCAGCTAAAAAATATATGATATAATTTCGAAAATATAACAAATTATCTTTATTATATTGCAAAGTTTAACACGAGAAATAAGTTTAAAAAAAATAGTAAAATGCCTTAGCTAAACAAGTAAGCCAGTTTTGTAAGCAAGTAGAGGCTTCCAAGACTATAAGGAAATTTTAAATTTGAATTTTTTAGAGGTCTCCACTCTACTCCACTCTTACGCTTATTTGATACATTTTCATTTATCTATTTTCTTCTCTTCAAAAACTGTTCAAGATTAATATTACCATTTAAATAGTTTATACAGAAGTTTTCACAGATGTCCTTCTTTTTTTACTCCTTACCCATACTCCACTTGAGTATTACTAGGATGCACCATGCTTTGGGTACTGGGTAACTCATGGTCGAGGCACTCGAGTTTTGCTTTTTTTTTCTTTTGATTTAATTTTTTACAAAAAAAAAGTCCTTTTGTTTGTAAAATATAAAAAAAAAAACAAATTGATAAATACGAATATCATGAGAAAATTATATTTGTTTAAAGTAACTGGAAAATGTTATTCACATTTTAAGTGCCCTGTAACTTGAGATATAACTTACGAATATTTTTGTTATAATTAATAAAATATATTTAAATATTTCTGCTTTGCCTTTAAGCAACAGCAAAAACTTTGAAATGATTACTTTGAATAAAATTTTCAAGTATATAAACATGAGAAACGAAACTATTATACGTTATCGAAATTAACTTAAGGTAAACCTTTTATTTTTGCTTTAAACTAAGGATTTAAGGATTATCTTTATTTTTGGTAATAATATGATGTATTGCTTTTCTTTTAATCCTAGCTCATGATTGCAATTAATTTAATGCAATTAATTTATTGTTTTGGTTGTACAATTTATTTTAAAGAAACACATAGTACTGAACAAAATGGACATTCATTCACTATTTTCTTTAAAAGAATTAAATTAAAATTGTAAGGATTTCTTCGTTCGAATAATTATAGATTGAGCGAATTTATTAACTTACTTACATATCTTCGCGGTACATCGATTAATGTTGTTTGTTATCGTTTTAAATATATAGTTCATATTTAAATCACAGTTTCATCATGTTGCTCACATATTAAATGGTATATTAATGAAACGTAAAGCTAACTCGCTGTTGTTTCGTGATTAGTTTCTTAAGATGAACGGGAAAAAGGCTGTGCTTCATCTTCAGGAAGCAGATATATATATCTCAGCGTGTTCTAAGCGAAGAGTTACTGTTGCACGATTTTTACTTAGATTTTTTAAATATTTAATATTTCCATCCCGGGTTTGGTCGAAATCCATGCTGAGCTAAGGACCTTTCCTTACTCCCACCGTTGACCTTCAGGGAGCGTTCGGCCCCGTTTGCTCGGTTACCTTCCGTGTCTAGCAATAATTTTTCAAAATTGAGTTTTTCCAAGCCAAGCCAAGGAAGCGAGAGTAGTGCAAAGTGGCCAACAAGCAAACGCATGCGAATTAAATGCTTGCGAAAAAGAGGCCCGACGGGTGGCAGCCGGGGTGTTGCCACTCATCGCACAGGCTGCCATCAGCGAACGTGGCCATAATTCAAACGACGCGCAAACTACTTAATGTTATTAGATGTGTCTTGTTGGGCCAGCCTTCCGGCCCTCCGGCCTTCCGTCCTTCCGGCCCAGTCACGCCCCCACTGCAGCTGTGGGGGCTGGAAAAACTTTAGCCTGGATTTTCTAACAGTGTGCTATCGCGGCCGTGTGTTTGTGTTAGCCAAGTTTATGCTGATGTTGCTGATTACAGCTGCCACTGCTCGGGATCTTGGCTCCTGCGGTCGACCGCCTTTTGGCGATTCATCCTGCTACATTTTTTCCCGTCCAATTTTTTCTGTCCTGAACTTTTCGTCGTTGACATTTCGTTTTCAGCATTTTGTATGTGTGCGAGCGAGTGTGTGCGTAGATATTTCGCTTTTTCCTTGGCCAGGAATGGGCCTGGGCCTGTCTGGCTGCAGGTACTGCATTTGAAATGGAATATGGCAGACATTTTTACGGTTGAGATAGGGATTTGAGTTGCCCAACTTCTCCGATTTGTTGCCTGTCTAACTCGTTGCACTTCAACTCGTTGCAAATGTCTCGTTGCTCGTCCTTCTCCTGCAGTTGTCGTTAGTTGCTGTCATCTTGATCGGGGCTTAACTTTCGTATATTTAAAATTTAGCTTAAGCTAAACTTTTCCATGAATTGAAATTCAAGAGTTTTTCGAGTTATTCATCATTATTTTGATTACGTAATGATCGAGCAACACTTGGCAATGTCGAGATATAATTAGCGTAAATTGGAGGCAACCAATCAGGCAATGTGCAGCACTTGAAAGTTTTCAGCCAACTTGCTGGGTCAGCACGCAGTTTTAGACAACTTGGCAGCCGAATGCCGAATGGGTTCAGTTGAATCCCTGCATCCTTTTGCACAGCCTCTCCTGCAGTTCACAAAAATATATACAAACGAACACGGTATTTGTCAGGTTCTGTTGAGATTTTAAGTCGGGCAGATTAAAGAGTGAGCCCAAACCAAAAAAAAAGATTATTTGTATTTGGCAAATTTACGCTTATTGACAGGCCAAGGGAAGGGAAGAGGGAAAGCGAGTGGGGGGACCATGTTACAGCCATCAGCTTTGGCCCGGTTTAAGGTTGTTTATGGCCTCAGCTTGTGTGGCGATAGGCCTGTCATTTATTAACTAGAATTTGCATTTAAGCTGCTCGGGCGAGGCGATGCCGAGAGGCAGCCTAAGAAAACATCAGCTAGGACAACAAATTAAGCATAGCATATTCATGCTGCGCCCAGTCTTAAAGATGTTTAAACACACAGAGAGCTCTATCAAGATCTCCCCAGTATATTCCAACTAACCCTTAACTCAGGCAGGGCCCAAACAGGCCCCGAATGACTGAGTGGCTAATTTGGAAATAGGAGAGCTCTCGAAAAACCCCTGGACTCTGGATACCGGGTCTCCTTTTCCCCGCCCTCTGATTTGCCTGCTCACAGCACACTTTTCCATTTGCTTTAACTTTTAAGTGTTGCTTTGTTTTCCATGCCGTCGTCTCCTCCGCTGCGAGGATGTGGAGGCTGCTCCTTGCAAGGACCTCAGCTCAGGCCCAGACTCGCTCGTCGAGCTGTTGACATTGTGTGCGGTTATTGTTGCTGCCGTGCGCCAGGAAGCAAACACTCTGCGCCTACTTAGGCAGCTTCTGCTGCCTCTTTCTCGGCGGCGCTTCTACGGCTTTGTTTTCGCATCTGGAGGCTGCTGCAGTTCCTCGGGGCCTCCGCCTCCGCCTCCGAGCTCAAGCTCGAGTGGCTGTCCTCGAAAATACCTGCCAGGGTCATTTGTTCATTTGCATTCGCAAGACTGGCGTCTTTTTTGCATTTTGCATTTAGCATTTTGCATTTAGCATTTAGCATTTAGCATTCTGGCCGTTGTCCCCAAACGAATGGCGCTTTAAAATAATTAAAAATTGTGACGCAAAAGCGAATGCAAATGAGAAGCAGCAGCAACGGTGGTGTGGCCCTGTCCGGTGTCGGAGTCAAATGAATTGGCATGTGTCGTGGCAAAAGTCTAAAACTAATTGGGTTATGTCCTCCCCAGATGCTCGTTGTCAGGCCAGCTTAGTCCGGCTCAGGCCCGAGCCTCAGCTCCTCCGTTGTCCTTTGTCCACAAACAAGCGC